GTCAGACGCTTAGCCGACTAAGCCACCCAGGCGCCTCATAATTTCTGCATTTCTGCTTCTAAAGAACTCAGTCTTGTGGAGGGATACTTAAAAAAAAAAAAAAAAAAGGAAAAAAACAAAAGGGAGAAAGTACAACTGAATGCCCAGGACTTCAGAAAAGAGGACGGCTATAGTACAAAGAGGATGATACCTAACTCAGGCTTAGCAAGTAAAGCAGGTTATCTAGAGGTAATCACATGTAAAGCCTGAAATCTAAATGGCAAGTTGGAATTGGAAGCCTAGGGGAAGGGAGGTGTGGGAAAAGTTTTCTAAGCAAAAGCAACAGCCAAAGGACAAGACATGGTGACAATAAAAACAGAAAGAGACAGACTCAGGAGATGCTGAGGAAAAAGAGCTTCAGAACTCAATAATTAATTATATGTGGAGGTGATGAAAGGAATTAAAGATGATGTCCAAGTTTTAGGCTCAGAAAATTGCATGAATGGTATTTTCACGAAACAAACAAACAAAAAACAAAAGTGTGGGAAAGAAAGAAAAGTTCAGCTTAGTTTCAGAGGACTCCATGACTTCAGAATGGATGCATCCAATAAGGAGTAAATGTGTTCAGAACTGAGGAGAAATATCTGCCCAGAAATACAGGTCTAGAAATCTTGAGCACAGAGATGACAAATGACAGCCAACATAACAGATGGGGGCACCCAAGGGTGGTCCACTAAGATTATGGTGGCTCACAATGCTGAAATGCATCGTTATTTAATGGCCATGCGGAGAAAGAGGCCCATAAAAGTCTTAAGAACTGGCAAAAATGAAAGAAAGAAAATCAGGAGACTATGATGTCACGAAAACCTAGGGCCTACAACATTTTAAGGTGGTGAATGATGTTACAGAGCTCTCTACAGGCTAAATAAGATTTAAAAAAAAAATTAAAAACAGACAGCCAAAACCAGCTCTACCAGATTAGAAAGTATTGATCTTTTGATTAGTAAAATGAAGTTTCCCAAGAACTATGGGGTGGGGAGAGGGACAAAAACAAAAATCAAGTCAACAAATTCTAGTTCATGGAAAAGTCTGGAGTCTCCTTTGAATCCTGTTTACTCCTTTCAATTTTCTCCCAGTGGTATTTTTTTCAATTTGAGTTAATGGAGAAATCATCCAAAAAAATATCCTCCACTCCAGGTTTTTGGTTTTCAAACTTTCTTACTAGAGAAACTAGAGGCTCATCCTGTAACAAGGGAACTATTCTTGGCAGCTAGACCAAGACTGTACAAAACAAACAAAACCACTAAGAGGATCCGGTCCCTCTCTGTATTTAAATCACTAACACTGTTAGAGGCTATGTCAATAGCTTGTTCTACACCAAGGATACGTGAGTGATTTTTCTTTTATTTCAGTCCACAATTAAAGAGGCAATCAAGCTGAATGGATTAAGCCCAAGGCTAGAAGGCAAAGCTTTAAACATTAAATTTTCCTCCACCAATTACTTTCCGATCAACCCTGAGAACATTCTGTATCTCCTACACCAAACAAGTAATTATAATTATAAGCAAATAATTAAATAATTCTAAACCAGAATGAGATAATTAGCCAAACTAAATTTAAAATTATAAATAATTATAGAAATGAAAGCAAGAAAACACTGGTAGACAGGACAACAAAAATAAGTGTTTAGGGGAGTCTGGGTGGCTGAGTCAGTTGAGCATCCAAATTAGGCTCAGGGTTCGTGAATTCGAGTCCCACATCAAGCTCGCTGCTATCAGCCCCCTGCTTAAGATCCTCTGTCCCCGTCTCTTTGTCTTTCTCAAAAATAAACAAACAATAGAAAAAATAAGAAGAAGCTTTTAAATACTCATGACAGTTGCAACTGTTTACTGACAAAATCCAATCAGTGTTTGTAGGAATACAACAGGAACTAGGATTCATACCCTAAATGGGCAAAGTTTCTTTAGGGTCTTTCAGGGCTGGCATTCTAAAAGGGATGAGGTCAAAGAACAAGGCAAATACAGAGGTATCTCCCTTCACTCTCATTCTGGCATGTGATACTTTAGTCTGACTTCTCAGCTTTCTCCTCTAACAGAAAGTGGCCACTCAGTAAGGAGCAGCAAAGAGATTTACCTTAGAAGTCACTCAGTAACGAGAATAAAAGTCATTATTAACATGGAGTTGAAGTCAGATATGAACTGTTTCAAGTAAAGGAAAAACAGTGGACTGGAATCAGCATGCGGGCTGCCAATTGCTACTTTAGACCAATGTTCATCAAATACTAGGCATTGTACCAGTGCCAACGCATCCTCATTTTAAAACTAAAGAAACAAAGAATAGGAGAGGCGACTCACGAAGCTAGTAGGTGGTATTTTAATTCTTATCATAACCTTAAAAAAATCAGTATAAACGTACTCTGGATCATCTAGAATATAGGTCCTAGATGATGACCTTATTATCAATCATGTACTGCTGTGCAAATTCAGTGACCTCATTTCTTGTTTATGTTTATGATCAAGTGAACTTCAATCAAGATAAAATAAGACTGAAGTTTACTGTGATGAATGAAGCTTTCATGGTAGTGGTGTGAGACAGAACTGAGTCATCACAGTCACCCAACAGCACACCAAGACCCTCCAAAAAAGGCTTTCTCTCAACAGTTAGTTGCATATTCATGTTGTTGGTAAGATGCACTGAACATACCAATGTGCAATGGTTCAGCAACAATAAACATAGCTAGTGATAGTAAAGACTATATGCATGCTCCACATCCCAGCAATAATTGGACTAGCCACTCATTTAAGGATTTCAAGAATGCTACTGTATTAGTTTCCAATTGCTGCCAAACTTCAAATTTGGTGGCTTAAAACAACAAAAATGTACTATCTTGTAGTTTTATAGAAGTCCAATATACCTCATTGGGCTAAAATCAAGGTTGTCAGCAAGGCTGTACTGCCTTTTCTAACTTTTAGAGACTGTCTGCATTCCTTGGCTCATAGCCCTCTTTCTCCATCTTCAAAGTCAGTAACACCCAGTTGAGTCCTCACATTTTATCACTCTGACCTTGCTTCATCCTTAAACCTCTTTCTCTGAGTTTTCCAAATCTCTCTTTCACTTTTAAAGACCATTGTGATTACTAGGGACACACCCAGAAAATCAAGGAAAACCTCCCTGAAGTCAGATGATCAGCAACCTTAAATCCATCTCTAACATTAATTCCCATTTGCCATGTAATGTAACATATTCACAGAATCTGGGAAATAGGAGATCTGGGGCAGGGGATTATTCAGCCTACCACAGCTACTAGGCTAGCCTTGTCATAGACAAATGTACCTCTGAAGCTTATTAAGATGTTCCTCATTAACACTGACATCCCAAGACTACTCACTAACAAAGTTAGACTAAATATAATGCCTGATTATAATGAACTAACAAATAAAGCCTCAAAGATATTAAGTGATTTTTTTTATGCTTTCTCTGCAATATTATTTGAAGGATAAAATATACAGGTCATTGGACCTCATTCTACTAATTCTACAATTAAACTAACAATGATTTGGTTTTGAAAACCACCATTATTTGTCACTTTACAATACATATACTATGAATTTCACTGACTTCATTCATTGTCTTATATTTAAATTGTGAATTTATTTTAGTTTCATAATTGTGAAGCTATAAGCATATCGAGTTTTTACACCTAATTCTTTGTTTCTATATACTTAAGTAACAATATACTAAAAATAATTAGGTCAAAACCAGGGATCTACAAATTTATTTTTCCCTTAAAAGGGATTTATATAATTTTGTTTTGAGAAAAACTGGAGTACTGGAGTAAGGCATTAACAGCATGGCATTTGAAGTCAGATATAAACTCAGCTACCAGCTCTGCAATTTATTGGCTGTCTGACCTTGGACACACTGCTGATACTCTTTAGATATGCAATTTCCTTACTTACAAACTGAAAACAATGATACCTATCCTATAGGCTAATCAAGAGGATAAAATGAAATTATATATGTAAAATTCTCAATATAGTTCCTAGCAATTATCAGGTACCCAACGAGATTAAAATTTATTTTATAAAACTCCAACCAAGCTTTAAGATATATATATATATATATATATATATAAAAGAGGGGTATCTAGGTGGCTTAGTCAGTTATGCACCCAACTCTTGGTTTCAGCTCAAGTCATGATTTCACAGTTCATGGGATCAAGCCCTGCATCAGGCTCTGGCAGTGATTAGTCTGTTTGAGATTCTACCTCTTTCTCTCTGCCCCTCCCCTACTCCCACTGTCTCTGTCTCTCTCACTAAATAAACTTTAAAAAAAGTTTTAAGATAAAAAAAAGAGACAATTTTCAGTGTTTAGCATATTACATTTTCGCAGTAAATATAAAACTGCAACTTTAAATGATTTAAAAGAATACTGTTCCATACTCAATATCTACGTTTTTCTATGGGTCTCATCAATTTTAAATGATTTATCTTTCAATATAATTAATCAACTTTGTCAATCCCTTCATATTTACTTATCTTTTAAGTTGGTAACTTATCCTATCAAAAAAATCCATTTGCCTCCCTAAGAGCTTTGCTGTTATTATCACAGTAATAATCGCAGTTTTACAAGTAACATAGTAGGGTGGATAATCTCTAACAATTACTTTCTACCTTTCCCAAAAAGAAAATACTGTTATGTTAACGAAAATAGACTATAAAAACAATTATGAAATGACTCTGGGAATACCAAAGTTCTAAATGCCCTTTAAAGTGAATCCCAGGGAACTTCTAAGGCTGAATTCATCACTTGAAAACAGTAGCAATTTTGAAAAATTACTCTTAATTATAAACTAAAAGTATACAAGAAAGGACTGATAGAGGTTAAATGAACTAATACTTGAATATAAATATAAGAATTATACTTTTATAAGAAGTTAGCTAAAGATAAATAATTATAAATTCATAGGAATTTTTTCAGGACAGTTTCTCTTTTGCATGATCAGGTACAAAAATACTTACAGTTTGATAATATGAGGATGGCGAAAGAGTTTTAGATTTTGAATTTCTCGTTTTATTTTTCCAACAACATCTAAACTGCGAATCTTCTGTCTATTTAAGATTTTAACTGCCACTTTATGGCCTGTCAATTGATGTTCTCCAACTAAAGAAAAGAAAAAAGGAAAAAACTTGCTGTCATAGCAACATAATCATTTATTCATGTTTCCTTCCACTGTAACCCCAAATTTCTTTACTCATGTAGACCACTTTTATTGCATAGACCTTCAGTTTCCTTTACTTCTATTTCTTCTACTAGAGTTTGTACTCCTTGAGGAAAGAATATGTACTGTAGTCTTCTCTGTATCCTCAGTACCTAACATGGGGATGTCCTTTAAATATTTGTGGAAAGGATTACTGAATTCTAGATTTCTACAAAAAAAACCCTAATTTGGAACATCTTTTGGATAAAGCAGAATTATGTCTTGTTAATCTCTTTATTTCTTCATTTCTAGTTAATGCCAGTCATTGTACGATATAAGAATAAATTAAGAATTTATAACTGGTTTCATTACTATCTCATCCAAAAATACACATGTAGTCCTTATTTTATATATATATATATCTTATATATATACACACACACACACACACACACACACACACACTACACACACTGTCTTTTCCATAGAGCCTTCCTATTTCCCTGTTTTTAGTGGGATCTCTTTCTTTCAAACTCTCATAATATGTTTATAAAGCTCATGTATCATTTAACATTTTAGGCTATTATAAACATTTGTGGTTTTCACAAATCATACGACTTGAGCTATTCGCTTATACCCACACCCATCTTGAATAAGGCAGTCAGTATTCATCCAAATCTCCCAGAAGAAATAACACAGTATTATGTACATAATACATGCTAAATAAACGTATGTTCCATTAAATTAAACAATAGTCCTTCCCTTTCATATAACACATCCATAGTATCCAAATACTGCTCAGATGAAACCCCTTCATTGGAGAAAAATTTGTCAGCCTCCCCTTCTTTTTCTTTGAAGTACTATTCTAAACACTGACCATTCTCCTCAAAACACTTAGTTAACGCTTGACTCCTCTCAGCAAATCCCCCCTTTCATTTCTTTGGGAAACATGAAGTCCTTAGGAGTAATTTCCTCTATCTTTGAGACTTGATTATATCCACATCTCTTTGCTCCAGTCTCAGATGTTTTCACCCTCCTTCTATTTACGGCCAGTATCATCAACTTGTGGCCCTGAACCTATCTTTTCTCCACTCTCCTTATACTCAACCTTTTCCTTTTCTTTTTTAAAATGTTTTTTCATGTTTATTCATTTTTGAGAGAGACAGAGAATCCCAAGCAGGCTCCCCACTGTCAGCGCCGAGCCCACTGTGGGGCTCCAACGCACTAACTGTGAGATCACAGCCTGAGCTGAAATCAAGAGTCAGATGCTTAACCAACTGGGTCACCCAGTAGCCCCTCAACCTTTTTCTTTTCTAATAGCTCCTTCTCCTTAGCTCATCAATATTCCATCCTGCCCCCCCAATCTTCCATTTACCCTGTATCTTCATTTAGTTCTCAATATCTGTCTCATCAAAATTTCTCAAAACAGCAGTCTACATTTACTATCTGTTCGTCCTCCCTTTTAACCCTTGCAAAGTCACTGCATTCTGGCTTCTGCCTCCATTCCTCCACTGAAACAAAAGGGTCACAAAAGACCTGTTAATTATCAAGCCATGTATGCTTTCCAGTTCTCAGATTACTGTAATCTCTGTTGTATTAGACAACATTGATTACTCTCCCTTTTTTGGTGCCACTTGTCTCTTCTGGTTCTCCTACTAACTCTCAGATGGCCTCCTTTATGGTTTCCTCCTATTCTTTAAAGTTTAGGGTCTCCAGGTTTCTCGCCTATAACCAAAGTAGATCCTTAAGTTCTCTCACCCATCTCTCATAATTTTAATTACCACTCATATGCCAAGGACTCTGCCCTCTTCTTCAAATCTCCATATCTCAACACTAGTATTCCACAATCACCTCTCAAATTCAGATGTTCGGAAGGAAACTCAGCATTCTACTCCCCTTCCTCTACCAAACCTATGTCCTCTATTTCACTCGATGGCACACAGACTATATGTTAGAAATCAGAGTCAGGTGACACTATCTCCCAAGTATTTCTTGGAATCAAGTTTCAAATCATTAAAACCAATAATGAAGATAAAAGTAACCATGATATTTATTGCTTATTATGTACTAAGCATTATTCTAAGTGCTAACTATCCTGCTCACTCAACCCTACAACTCTATGAAGTATTATTATCCTCCATAGTAAAGATGAGAAACCTGAGGCACATGTGATCTCAAGCCATCTCACTTCAGTTCACAGGAAGCGTGTTTAACTACACATAATAATAATGCCCCCAGTCAGAAGGGTCCAAACATGAAATGGGCTGACCCAGGAAGAACTGAGTTTCCTGTCAATGAAGATTTTTTTTATCTTTATAACTTTCTCAAGTAGTAAATTATCATCTCAAAACTCAGCCTGCATATAAAACAAATTGGGAGACAGCAAATTAAGTTCAAGCAATCTAAACTAGTATAATATTCCAAAATATGGCTCCAGAACTCCAGAAAAATATATCACCTTCAGGGACTTTCTTTTATTAATTTTCTAAATTCCAGTATAACTTATAGTGTTATGTTAATTTCAGGTGTGATTCAACAATTTTATACACTGTATAGTACTCTTAATCCCCTTCACTTATTTCGCTCATTCCCCCTGGTCTCTCTTCTGGTAACCACCAGTGTATTCTCTATATTTAAGAATTTTTTGTCCTTTTTTCTTTGTTCATTTGTTTTGTTTCTTAAGTTCCACATACAAGCGAAATCATATGGAGATTTGTCTTTCTCTGACTGACTTCACTTAGCATTATATACTCTAGAGATGTCCATGATGTTACAAATGGCAAGATTTCACTCTTCTTTCTGGTAAAGTCGATTTCAGGAAGCCTCTACTCAATTAAAATAACTTAAATGGTTTCTTGATGCCTCAGTAGGGTAGTATTCACTTTTGGGAATTTCATGATACCCAAACATTTGCTTGCATGGCCTAAAAAATATGTTTCTCCCCTCAAATCCCAGATAGTAGCAGTGGAAGTAATCAAGGTGGCACTCCTTACCGATACAATTCAAAAAAAGAGTTCCATTCCTCCTTTCCATTTGATAATTTTAACCAGTGACTATTAAGAACATATGGGCTCCTTTCAGATCAAAGGAGTAAGACCAAGGACTCTAACAACCAAACAGATGGATGTTTTGTTTTTTAATACCATCTGCTTAAACTGAAAAACAAGGAAACCAGAAAGTGAAATCACTCAAAAAACAATTTAATGATGAAGTATTACTTTGACAACATATTCAATAAAGCTGCAGTATACAAAATCAATATACAAAAATCACTGTTTCTATACACTAACGATGAACTATCAGAAAGAGAAATTAAGAAAACAAGCCCACTCACAACTACATCAAAAGAATAAAATACTTAGGAATAAATTTAACTAAGGAGGTGAAAGATCTACACACTGAAAATTTTAAGACACTGATTAAAAGAAATAGGAGAAGACAAAATAGATATACCACATCACAGATTAGATGAATTGATAATGTTAAGATGTCTATACTACTCAAAGCAACCTAGAGATTCAATGCAATCCCTATCAAAACTCTAATGGCATTTTTCACAGAAATAGAAAACACAATCCTAAAGTTTATATGGAACCACAAAAGACCCCAAGAATCCAAAGCAATCTTGAGAAAGAACAACAAAGCTTGAGAAATCACACTTCCCAATTCCAACTATATTACAAAGCTACAGTAATCAAAACAGACACATAGGTCATATTGGCATAAAAACAGACACATAGGTCAAGGGAATAGGATAAAGAACCCAGAAATAAACTATTGCATATATGGTCAACTAATTTACAACACAGGAGTCAAGAATATACAATGGGGAAAGGATAGACTCCTGAATAAATGGTGCTAGGAAAACTGGATAGCCATATATAAAAGAATGAAACTAGAACCCTATCTTACATATTACATACACATCAACTCAAAATAGATTAAAGACTTAAATTTAATACCTAAAAGCATAAAACTTCTAGAAGAAAATGTAGGTTTTCTTCCTCGACGAAGTCTTGATAATGACTTTTTTGGATTTGACAAAAAAAAGCAAAGACAACAAAAGCAAAAACGAACAAGTGGGACTACATCAAACCTAAAGAGCTTTGGGCCAGAAAAGGAAACAAAATGGAAAGACAAGCTACAGAATGGGAGAAAATATCTGCAAATCATACATCTGATAAGGGGTTAATATCCAAAATATATAAAGAACTCCATTCAATAGCAAAAACAAAAAACACCTGATTAAAAAGTGGACATAAGAACTGAATAAACATTTTTCCAAAGACGACATACAAATGGTAATCCATGAAAAAGTGCTCAACATCAATAATAATCAGGGAAATGCAAGTCAAAAGCACAATGTATATCACCTGACACCTGCTTGAACTACTGTCGCCAAAAAGACAAGAGATAAATGTTGCCAAGGATGTGGAAAAAATGGGAACCCTTTGCACTGCTGGTAGGAATATAAATTGGTGCAGCCGCTATTAAAAAAAGGATGTAGATTTCTTTAAAAATTCACAGAACTACCGTATGATCCAGCAATCTCATTTCTGAGCATGTATCAAAAAAAAAAAAGAAGAAGTATCTGCACTTCCACATTCACTGCATTATTCACAACAGCCAAGACATGGAAACAACCTAGGTATCTGTCAATAAATGAATAAAGATGATACATAAACATACATGTGTCATTCACCATGAGAAAGAAGGAAATCTTGTTTGTGACACAGATGGACTTTGAGGCATCATGCTAAATGAAATAAGCCAGTTAAAGAAAAATACTGCATTGTATCACTTCTATGTGGAATCTTAAGACAAGGTCAAATTAGAGAAAAGTGGTTGCCATGGGCTGGGAGATGGAGAGATAGGGCTTGGTAAAAGTATACAAACTCTCACGTATAAGATGAACATGGAGGTGCCTGGGTGGTTCAGTCGATTGAGGGTCTGACTCTTGATT